TTTCCCAGGAGCAATTCTTTCTTATCTCACTTTCAGATCCACTGCAATATTCCTATTAAAAATGAAAAAAAAAAAAAGAAGAAAAAAAAGAAGAAAAAAAAGATCAATTTAGATCAAGTATTCTACTAAACACACTCCTATCATCAGAAGCTGGGGGGGAAACATGAACAAAATGCAGGCAAGTATCATTACATACAACATACAGGCAAGGATGCAGAGGCAGGAAAAGACTATTCCCAAATTCAGAGACAGGCTCTTTCTTCAAAAAGGCTAGTTTGCTCTTCTTCCCTCAGGCCCCAAGAGAGAACAGCTCAAGTCAAAGCCATGTATAAATGGCCAGACTCAAACCCCACAGGCATAGGGCAGCGCAGAGACGATGCCTTTTGACTCACTCTGGGACCCTTAATGTTGTTCCCAGGCTCAGCAGAAAGGTTTGCACCAGCTTGAGCACACTGTTAATATGGTAACTATAACCCTGGCCCTGCTGGGGGCCAGTCAGTCAAAGTCAGTCAAAAGCAAGGATCAGCCTTAGCTGATTCCTGTTTTGGTTTTTCCTGCTCGTTGCAAAAAACTAGAAGAAACTTTGCCTGAAAACAAGCAAAAGCCAATATTTCATGTCTTCCAAAACATTACAGACTCATGAGCTGTTGCTGAGGAAGATTCACACCCACAGTAAGCCTTCATTTCCCCACATAAAACAGTAAATAAGCAATGTCTTTTCTTCATTACCAATGCACACATGAAACACTGTCCCTGTGGATGGGCCCTCATCCTTGAAGTCACTGGAGCAGCTTCCATTGACTTCAGAGCACATCATCAGCTTCTACCTGGATTTACCCTCTTGTTTCCAAGACTTATAAAACTGTATATGAGCTTGCAAACAGTTCAGCCTGAACAAGACCAATTGTAAGTCTCTTCCTTAAGTAGTTCTAAGGTGAACCCTGTTCCTCATCACAGTAGCAAGCTTTGGTCTTCATCCTGCAGTTCTGAGGAGAAATGTCATAGACTTCAAAGAGAAGATTGCTGAGATTCAACTCCACCTGACATCTCAGAGATGTATGTGATGACTGCAGTTGAAGATGCAAAGGCAGTTCACAACACAGAATGAACAGCATGTGTGAAGGATATAAATAGCTTAGTGAAAAACATCCAAGTCATCAGTAACACGCCTAAGACCCTGATCCAGCCATCCATGCAAGATGTTCCACCCTGAGCTCTCAGCTCCGGTCCCAATCATGCCTGTGAATTTAAGAATCTGAATAAGAGCCTTTTGTTAGCTCCAAGAAAGCCCAAGATAATGTTTATCAGCTTTGACTCCCATATTACACCATTTTGATGCTTCATACCATGAAACGTTTGTTTTGAAATTTTCCTCCTTACTCTATATCCTAAAGCCCCAAACAGAGTAACAGAGTTTTAGCCTCAAAACCACCCTGCTTGAAAAAGGGTGAAATATAAACCGCAACCCCAGGCTTCACAGAGGACAGACAACATATAGATGTACCTTAGACTATCAAAGAGTCACAGATGGGGACAAAACTTGATACTAAAATGCAGTGCCTCAAATTCAGCATTCCTATTTGCCCTACAAGTTCCCTAAGGAATTTAAAGCCTCTTTCCTGCCCTTTTTAGTCTAGCAAAAAGAGTTACTTTGCCTGTTGAAAATAGATGAAGCATTTCTACATCTGCTTCCCCAGAGAGCAGGGGAGCCTGAAAGAACCAGACTGTAGGGTACTTGTACCACTGACCTTAGCTTATGCACTCCTCTGTGGCTTTCTCCCTGGAATAAATGTGCACAGCATCATGCTCATTCGTTTCAGCAGGTTTCTCACTGCAGCCAAAAGTTCATGTCTGCACCATCCCACCTTGCAGCTGAAAACATTTCTAAGTCTGAACTGACAACATAAGTCTTGTAAGGGAAAGGCAGCTCACCAGCCCCATCTAGTCCTGCATACCAGAGACTGTGCCTGGTGTCCAGCCAGCACCCGCTTTCCTGGGGGCTCTCTCCCATTTCACACTATGCATGCAGAGCTCAGACTGACTTGGCTCATTCCTCCTCATCACTTGCTCTTCCAAATGCACCTTAGTGTGACTTGAAAGAACCAGCACAAAAGAGGAGATGACCTGTGCGATACATAACCGCAGCCCCCGTAGCACCGTACACAAGAATCAGCTACTCAGGAAAGCAACCCCGTGTTTTCAGCATCATGCTGGTAACATGAATTTGTATTATTCAGCCAAGATAACTTCAACACTTCCCACTGTTCTGAATTACAAGGCACTTCCACAAGTTTGCCTTAGCCTTTAGCACACTCTTGCTGTCACTTAGCATAAACTGTAGTTTAATCATTGAAAACTCCTGTTGACAAGACTGTGAGCAGGGTGGAAGGCAAGGGAAGATGTGAAATACTCTGCCCACAAGAGATTTTCTTAGAGCAGACAGATCCTTATTGCTGTCAGACAGCAAAAGTTTGCTTTATATCCAAATCTTTCAACTTAAAGCAAGTCATTTGGGTTCTTTCATGGACACTATAGGTACCTCATCAAGACACTCAGAGCACAATTTGTCAGCACTCCCACATGTTGTGCAGAAATGAGTGCAATTTTTGTCAAGTCCTCGGGTCAGAGGCAGAGATTCAGCAAGCAGAAAAAAAGAAAAAAATACATCATGAGACAAACAAAAGAAAAAAATAAAATAAAAAGGGTAAATTTTACATTTTAAAGAGTACAGCTTATGTCTGTTGCCCCTTTTCAAGGTAAAAGGCTTATGAGAAGCAGTATTTTATAGCCTAAAAAGTGACCCTGAGAAGGAATTTGCTATGCAATAATGTATGCATTTACTGTTTTAACGAAAACAGCAATGAATAAACCCAGAACACTCCCTCATTACTGTGATTTTTTTTTTTCCTAACTTCACTAGTACCTCTGTATTTATGCTAACTAACCCTCACCGAGAATAAACATGTTCCATTGCATTTTGGAAATGCAGATCTAGCAGCATTATATCTATGCATAAATACTATAATTATTACTATAGTTAAAAAAAAAAATCTTAATTGATCTCAACTGGTCCAAGAACTACATATATTCACAAGATCAAATGTTGATCACACTCAGTGTCTAGAAGCTGTTGCGTTAACACAGCTGTCTCTCCCCTGTGCACAGGGATGCTTTGTATCCTCAACCATGTTAACACACCAGAAGTCCTTACCATCACATCTGACTTTTGTCCCACTTGACTACAACAGCTCCAGAGGAAAGCAATATGTCAGTAAACGCCTCTCAACTCTTCCAAAGCACCTGGAAGCCTTTCTGGATTACACCAGCACCAGCTAAGGGGGACACACCAAGCTCAGACACAAAAGGTCTGTCTCTCCCTTTCACTAAACACTGTTTCCTCAGGAGCCAACTGATAATCCCTCCCCCAAGGTCCTCAGTAGAAACTTACAACTTTAAAATAATTTTAAATGTTCTTTAGCAGTTATAAAAATCCCTTTACAAATTGCAGAGTGAGCACGTGAAGCAGACAAACAATACACAAACTGTGATGAGCAAACAGCTCATTTCCAAGTCCAGCAAGGGGATAACCAGATACAGTCATACCTTAACGCAGTTCAGGTGATGCTTGGCATGTTATAGTACATATCAGAACCTCCAGCTAGGTGTTGGCTTTTTTCTGGCTTCTCCCACCATACGTCCAGAACAAGAGTCTCAATTACCTGTAGATCACTTTTTCCAACTTAACAACTGTCTTTTGTAAGACAAGCAATAAGGTTTATTTCTGTCTTCCCATCACACTTCTAGCCAGTCCCACAGGCTCCATTTGTACTCAGAGAGCCCACGGAGCACCCACTCCACACACCTACATCCCAGAAAAGCACCAGCTACAGCTTCTTCTCCAGACCATGTTGCTCCCCAGAATAAACCATCCTTTGGCTGTCAGAGACAACAAAAAGGAAGAGACGAATGCTTCCGTTCCCATCAGAAGTGATTTTGACAAACCAGGACAAAATTCACTCTTTGAGCACTACCTTCTCCATCTGTAGAGCATCCCCAAGGAAATTAAAAGTCAAACCAAACCACAGAAGACAGCAACAAATAAAATCTGGGAAAGAACTAACTCTGAAAAATTCAAAGTTTACTTTTACCATCTATGGCTATAACTCATCATGGAACAAGCATGCTGAAAAAACAGAGTAACTTTGAGTCAACAGCTGAATGACTGATGACTTTGCAATGTACACACACATCCAGGGGGCACTGCCTGTTTTCAGAAGCATTCCTCCCTTCTTGCTGATCTCCCTGTGCTCCAGCCAAGGAATTTGGGGGGGTTGTATTATTCCAAGCAACATTGATTGGGGTGATGTTGCAAGAGCAAAGTGAAGCCTTTGGAAACAAATCCCTTGCTTCCATGCCCACCTAGCCAGCCTCAGCTGCTCCTGATTAAGCAGCTGCATGCAAGTGACTGCATCAAGGTGAAAGGAGAGATGTAGAACTAGACAAAAAAGCATGGAAAGGGATCACAGGTAAAAAGTGAGCAAAGCAAGTGATGTCATCATTTGATGACATGCTCCTTTGAGCTGTCATCAAAGAGCCAGCAGACACTGCCCCAAAATTCATACTTACAAGTGTGCATGGACTAGGCACGAAATCAGGCCAAAGAGCTGCAAAGAAAACTTCTATCCCAAGTGTAACAACAAAGCAGGGAAAACAAGGGTGGAATGTTTTTTGCAGACAATGATGCTCCCATCAACTTGAGAAGACATAAATCCTGGTTTCAACTTGCAATTGCTGCTAAACACTTCATCTGCTGTCAGCTCTCAAAACAAGTGCTACATTTCACTCTTTTGAAAAACAGAATTAAACCAGATTTTGCTAAGAGAAGACAAGCATATCATTTTGTGAATCAAGGCTAGAATGCAGGAGACAGGGAATCTGAGCTGCA